CCTAACGTGGTGTGTTTTGTACATTTTGAATTGGAAATGTGCTTCGCGCCACAACGGCATGCACTTTTTCGACATCGCAACTTCCAATAGTGGTCCGACGCTGAGGTGTTTTGTGCGTTTTGACTTGGAAATGTGCTTCGCGCCACAACGGCGTGCACTTTTTCGACATCTCAACTTCCAAAAGTGCTCCGAGACCCAGGTGTTTTGTACATTTTGACTTGCAAACGTGCTTCGCGCCACAACGGCGTGCAATTTTTCATCCCTCATCTGGCCAGCTGGCTCCGCACCCGCCGCTTTATCGAGCCTACTTTTCGACCCTCTGGAGCTACAAATCGTGGGAAAAACGCAGTGTTTCGCGACTTTCCTACCTTTTCACGCATCTGCATCTTCTTTCTCTTCTACTCTTCTTTCTTCTAATCTTTCTCTTCTCTCCGCCTCTTCCCTGCTCTGCTTTTCATCTGTCCATATTGTCGGAAGTTTGACTTCTAAACTTCCTTCGATTATTGGGTATACCTCTATTTGGGATGATTTATAGTGGCGCCTGGTTAATGGATTGTTTATGGCAAGCAACCCAGGTACCAAAAACCAGCCGCGACCGCGGCTACTGTAATTCTTTCAACCGTAGTGCCTTGGCACTGCACGTGGTGAATAAAAACCAGTTGTTCACTGGTTCACCTACTTTTTTTCCTACATTGCCCACTAGCTCATTAGCATATAAAAAACACAATCTGAAGATTCGCAAAGTTGTTCTGCACCATCTATCCTCTAGCGTAGAACCTTTATTTATGTGATTTTCTTCTTTTTCTGATCAGAAAGATGGTTTGGACTCTTGAGTTTGTTTTTGGGATGGTTTGAAACCACGGGCCAAGTTCAGAAGAGATGATAGGAGATCTCCACGAAGATTGGTACAGCAAGAGGTTGTTCCACAGGGAAGTTAGGTTGATGAGGATCCGAATGGAACAACCATTCTGGCAACATCTTCATATTCCGCTCCAGGAATTCATTTAGTTCATTATGTCACTGGCAATATCCACATTGTCGCTGTTTTTTTTTCTAGACTCATACACGTACATATCATGACATATACGTACATATGTTACAGTTACATAATATATAAATATATACTGTATTTTATATATAGGTTGCATATGATTTTCTGCTAGTAAAATCATGATATCCCCATTTCCGCATGGCCATACCCGCATTTTTCGGTGGTGTTCTTAGGTGCTCGTGTTCAGTGCTTCGGGAAACCATGGACGGTTTCGGGTCTCCCTCGTCGTCGTCCGCCTTAAAGGCACGCTATCCCATGTATGTCCCTTGGCACCTGAAACTCAATGGAAACCCCTGGTAAATGATATGGGAAATGATGGTATACCGGATTTTTTGAAGGCCAAGGTGGTGGACCACAAATACTACGCAGTTGGGGAAACAATTTTTGATTAAACTACAACCAGTTAGAAAGGAGGCCACTGACTAGTGCTTGGACCTTTCGTGTTGTGGAGCTCAAGGTGGAGTGTTTGGGTTGCACAAATTCCACAGTGAAACGACGTGAAACGACACACTGCGCTCCAGTACGTAGCTTGACCGCACCTGAGGTGATCCCAGTGAAGAAGTTAATGCAGTGCCTTGGCTTTGAAGGCCAGTTGAACAGGAAGAATCATGATAATCCGCAATCAGAAGTGACTCAAACGACAAAGCTTATCGTCTGATACGATTTTGTCGTACTTTGGTACCCTAGTCTGACTAGTCTGGCGGCTTGCCAAAGCAGAGATATTGCCAACAAACACTACAGATACAGGGGAATCAATGAAATTACTATGATTTACATATGTATTTTACATACTGCAATCATTATAAGCCCAACCAAGACTTGACCGGGATCCGGGGTGCAAGGATGAAGAAATTCTTGATTCATCGGGAGATGATGGAAAGGAACTTGTTGCAGGAGCCGGTGTCGGGGTTTCGGGTTTTCTAACACAAGAATAAAGCCACCAGGTGAGCAAAATCTCCTGACCCCAAAATCTCGGGCGTTTCTGGTCAGTTCCGAGGCGTCCACACCATTTTTTTCGGAAAGTTGTTGAGTTTGGCCAAAAACAAAGTGGCCCTTAAGCCAATCAGATACTCAGTGTGCTGCTTCACATCTATCTTGAGCAGCTTGGCTTGTGCCGAGGGAAGAAATGTCACTTGTCATTGGCACCAAGGGAGTGGTTTGGGACGGGATATCGCAGGTGGCTGCAACTGTTCCACTCCACCAATCTCGGTGCTGTCTTGCGCCAGGAGTACACTGCTGAAACCGAAGGTCGTGTCATTGTGGTGTCGCATCAATGGCTCAGCTGGGACGCCAAGTGGTGACACCAAAAAATGGAGGTGAAGAAAGTTGATGAAAGTTGGGCGTTTAAGGACGAAATTTGAGGATTCAATATGATTCAAGGGGATCGTTGTTGATGATCCCTGAGTGGTTGGGTGAAATCTAAATTGACATATTCGGCTACGTTTAATGGGCGCTTGGAGAAAAGAGCAACGCCTCCCAGTTCTACAGATTTTTTGTCAAGGATTTCAGGGGTCCAGTTGCAAAGACACCAGTTCTTTTCCAACCTTAGACTGTTCCCTGCCATGCAGTGAAGCCGGGGATCAAGCTGCGTCAAACCCCAGGTTACAACCACCCAGATCCGGATCAGGACTTGGCTGTAGCCGCAGGGCGGTGATTGAGCTTTAGTTTGGGATGGATACAACCTCGCCAGAGAATATGACACAAGAGGTTTTGGCCATGGCTCATTTCGACCTTCCTTGGTCGTCTTAGACTTTCTAATTAGCTTATTGGATGTGGGGGTGATGAAAAAGCAGGGGATCTACAACCTCTCCAAATTGACGCTAAGGCCCCACTCAAACGAGGAGTCACCAAGAAGGGGCCCACCGACATAGATGACTTTTTGAACATGTTTTCCAGTCTTTTGTTTCTTTTTCTTTTTTACTTCCTTGATAAGATGACCCTCCTTGGCTTTCGTTTCTAGTCTTGGGACAGGACTTTGACCGCAAAAAAAGATGTTGTTCCATTTATTAGTGCTAGAATGTGCTAGAACATCTAATGAATCCAATGATAGTTTCAGTACAATCTGACATGTGAGACCAACTCCTTGAGGACAGGAACTTATGGGATTGGGCTTAGGGGTCCGTCTGAGCCGATATCCCGATATCCCAAGGAGCTTTGCTAAAGCTCCTGATGGTTTACAGGGTGCCGCAAGGCTTCATTATACTTGATTAGAAGCAGACTATAGGATTTGAAACCAACTTTTTTGGATTCCCGTGGATTCCCAACCTTTACCAATCGTATTTGCCTGACATGTGTGGAACATCAGCCACTGGGTGGTTTTGGCCACCAGGAACATTTCTTCACGTTGAAGAGACTCTTAGACCGGCTGGGCAATGGTGAGGTGAACAGGTGCCGCGGGGAGGGAGCTGCAGGGGAGATGAAGCTGGTGGAAAACGAAAACAATGGGTGCAACAATGGTGCCACCATGAACATAGGCTATTAATGGCTTTCTGGGGTTACATGATGTAAAAATGGGTGTACACCATACCCAACCATTCACCAACCATTCACCAACGATTCACCATACACCAATCATGGGGAATGAATGGGAATCCCATCCGATGGATCTGCCAGGGTGGAGGACTATTGGCTCCACGCCGTGATGTTTCGCTCCGCTGGCATCACCGCGCGAGTGCCTTGGATTGTTCAAACATCGCCGTTGCGGAAAATCGTGTTTCCCACCTGAATTTGGGGGAGATTTCAGCTCCCAAAAGAGATGGAGAGGTTCAATGCTAAACAGTACCTTGCGGGTATAGCTATTATGCTATTGCCCTTGTCTGATTTTTGACTCACACCCACGGGGAATGGGATCGACTTCAACATTCTTGCCCCCAGGATCAGAGTCTTTAGTTTGGTCCTAGAAATAGAATGAATCCTGAACAAAATACATCCAGGAAAGAAGGACTTGAAGGGCAACCGTACTTCTCCTCCCGCCAGAGCTACTGGATAGCTCACACTCGCCATTGAACAGGGTCCTCGAACTCCAACATCTGTACCATAGCATTTTTCCAAGAAAAAACATACCACGGATATGTACCATATCACTAAGAAAAAACTATACATCGATTGTATAGCTGTGTAATATTTTCTTAGTGAAATCCTACGCAAAAAACCCCAGATAACATAAGTCACCACGTATGCGCTGACGACATTGCAAAGGTGCTCTTTATACCTGGCAATCCGGTGTTTTTGCCCCATGGTACCTACCAGTCGCATCCCCACATTCCAGGAATGGAAGAACGAATTTGAAAATACCTTCGTGGCTTGGCTGGTGAAGGCTTGGTGATGGTTGTGACAAGTCACAGGATTTTGTCGAAATTGCTGGAATTCAACATCAAGGAACAGAAACGTTGAACACTCTTTCCCGTCAACATTAGTGTATTTTCCGTCCCTGTTTTGGATGGTGCTTTGTTGAACCCTTCAAGACCTGAAGAACTTTGGTGAACTCGACTGGTTATGTTGGTCAGCGTTCCATGGATTATTTCAATCCGGGGTACCAGTGCATGGATGGTTGGTATACAAGTGGGGCCTGCATCTCAAGAAGACTGGTCAGCCGGATTTCAAGAAAGACCTGGGATGTTTTGCCGAAGGTAACAGCAAACAGGTGGCCAATGTGTGATCACCCAAAGAATCCAGTCCTAACCTGGTGATACCAACAATGATGGGTTTTGGTGACACATTGGTGACACAAATCTGTGACACAGCAAGGGCTTGTGGGATCCTGAGGTGTGGATTGACTACTGCTGCATTCCGCAAGTGGAGGTTGACATGGATCCGCGCACGGTCACACTCAGCGGTGTCTTGCCTTGAACTGGATGAACGACGCATTCGAGAGTTGAATGCGGATGTGCAGTGGCCCTTCAATCCTTGGATGCAAAACAAATGTGAATATTGTAATTGGGATGTGGATATGTATGATACATCCAATCATGATGCTTGTTTATGGTTGAAGGTTAATGATCCACCATTCACGGGATTTATTGCGAGATGTTGGCCACTACTGAAACCGACTCAATGGTCTAGGCGTAGTTAGGCACTCTGTGTTCGGATTTCGAGGCTTAGCAGTACAATCCATCGCTGCGTACGTGGAAAGGCCAGCGCCTGGGGCAGGTGATGGTCACAAGCAACCAGCCTCTTGCTGGTTGCAACATTTCATCCAGTTGAGTATATATATGATAGTATATGAGATATTACGTGAATCTCATGTATGTATATAAATGAATCTACATATGCAGATTCCCCCCGAAAAGATGTGTGGAAGATTGAAAATTGGGGCCTTTTTTCATTCAAAATGGTCAGAGGTTGTATTGTTTGTTTGCCACCCACTCTGTATACAGAGAAACCTGTTCACTTCCTGACTCATATTCATATTTGGCATACACATGTTCGGTGATCATTCTAGGATGTGCCAACCAATCTATTCAACAGCTTCCCAACCAGATTCATCGATGCCTGATGGCCCACAGGGCGTCATTGCTATTGGTGCTGGCACCCATTTGTGTCCACAAGGCACGTGATGGTTTCGGTGGGGGCACGGGTCGACTAAGGAAGCGTAGCTTATCAAATTAGAATACCCTTGTTTTGCGGAAGTGCTATGATGGCTGTGGTGGTTGATTCGTGGTACCCCCATTCTTATCCCCTTTGACCAAGCTCCGCAATGAAAACCAAACAAGTCCTCCATGCAGTGTGTTTCAGATCTCAACTTATAATCCCCAACTCTTTGTGCACAATTTCTCCATGTCAACTCATTTCTATGTGATATGTGTGTCTAAAAATTGGCTATACACCCAATTCCTGGCATTTCGTAGGGAAAATGATGATCAACCACTGAGTTTTGGGGTACCCCGATTTTGGTGGTAACTTCCAGGATTCACAGCAAGCATGTAACTTCTCCAGCTGGCGCAAGCGCGGTTGGTGCCGATTGGCTCCTTGGGGAAACTGATGCAACGGTTGGTGAAACGGTTGGTGATCAATGGAGGTTCACAGATGAGAATGCAGCATATGGATACTACAACATATTACACATATAGTCATTTATTTGTTGCTATATACATAATACACACTACGTACTCTATATCATACACACGGGATTACGTATGTGACATATCCGGAACACATCCGGTTGGGTAATTTTTGGGGTCGCCCAATGGGAGATCAAAGGACTCAGCAATCCCTAATGGTCCCAACTAATAATCCCGACCAAAAAAAAGTCCCAGCTAAGCAAAAATCCAACTAATACCATTCTAGAGAGCGGAAGATAATTACTGTAGAACATGACTGCTTTGGACTACTGCAGCTAGAAATACATCTAGAGATAAGGAGATAATGATCTTCAGCAAGATCATCTCGCCGGGGTAACCATCATGAACACTTTCGCCATAGAAACACTTCGCAAATCGTGTTCGCAAGAGGAGTTTGCCATTTGTCATCCAGATATTTCACTACCAACATCAGATTCAAACAGCTAAACATAATCCATCACTAACCATTTTTACCAAGTAAAAAGCATCGTCTAACTCACCATGTGATGGACAGTAACTAACTCAAAATGAAATCTTTACTAATTATGAAATTATGAATAATTATGGTTCACCCTTATTATCAGCCTTTTGAATCACTGACTACAGTGATTCATTATGTTTATTTCAAACATCTCAAATCTACCAGGTCGCCTTGCTGACGTTCCCTGCCGTTCCTTGCCGTTCCTTGCCGTTTCGCCCAAGGAGATGATGAGCGCCCTGCTCTCGGCGAGGGATGTGCGTGTCATGGTTTGCCAGGGCGCTGAGGTGAGCGGCGAAGCGGCCGGGTGAAGTTGGGGAAACGATTCCAAAAAAATCGTCAAAGTGGATGTGGTCATATAATTCATATTATATACACACCTATAATATGTATGATATGTATGATATGTATGATATATATATACATATTATACACATATAGACGATATGATATAGCCCGAGGTAAAGGAATTTAGATATGGAAAACCCATGGTTTCTGCAGGAATTACTCCACAAATGGTGAAATTTACATATCTATCTTGGTTTATTACGAACTATAGAATATTTGAAATCGTGTACATAAAGACATAGCATGGTGATTATTTCGATGGTAAACATGACCAAAAGTTAGAACAACAAATGATATATTCACCATCAGTTATCATGGATGGAAACGGAGTTTGGCATTTAAAGCATCAAACAATATGGGTTTACAGTACCTGTCGTGTTAAGATAGGGTTGGACCACCACATATACATACATATACATATTTACATACATTACGTTACGTTGCAGTACAGTACATCACGTTGCGTTACATTACATTACAGTGCAGTACAGTACAGTATATCACATTACATTTCATTACATTACAGTACATTCTAGTACGTTACATTACATGACATGACATTACACAACACAATACAACATTGCATTACATCCAACACATCATAACATTGCATTACATCCACATGTGTATATATATATAATATGTATATATATATATATAATATGTATATATATAATACACCAAGTAAAAAACCCTGCTCCTATTGGTTACTTGGATGGATGGGTGAAACCACTCCCCTGATGACTGAGATCGCAGGCCACGCCCTTCTTGTTGCACCCGTTTGAAGCTCCCCGCATGCCCGTGGGCGATGGCCATTTCAGCTGCTGCGAACTGGGCTTCTTAGATGCGAACTGGGAGGGGATGAACCCAAGAAGGGAAAAAAGGGATGATTATGGGGTAATTGTCAGACTCACCATGCCCTAATGGTGGTTTATGAAATTAGATATACCTCTGTTTGGGAAGATGTAAATTCACTCCTAAATGGTTGGTTGCTCAGATAGTTGACCATTGGGAGCACCTTGGGGTGGCCACCTTCAACCTGCCCATGCAGATGGGTCTTGCGTCCAAACATTTTTTGCCCGGCTTTCGGGCAATTTTGAGGGTCTAGGGGTCAAAATTCCAGGCCACAAAGGATTACCGTGGCCTATTTTTTTTTGTGTATAAAGATCCCCATTTCTGCAGGTAGAGTTTGACTCAGCAAAAATGCAACATCCAGGCAGAACAGAACCTTCGCATATCTTCGCATCCTCTATTGGAGTTACATGCTAATTTCATGGGGTAAATGGTTGGTAGTTCGTAGCTAGGGATATAAACAACAATGACGCAGATATCTTGAATAACAACAGGTGTAACCCAGCAATTAAGATGGCATTGCAGCCAGCCAAATGGGATTTGCTATGATGTGCTTGATTGATCATAGCTAGAGACTTCCTTCCGTGTGCCAACAACACAGGACAAGAAAAAAAGTGCATCAGGCGCGTTTTAATGATTGTTTTGACAAAAAAGATCTCAGAATTGGTCTCTGGCCAATTTGGAGCCTCAATAAATCCATGGTGAGGCCACAACATGGGTGGCCACACCATGGCCTGCGACAAGCAGCGCCTGCGGGGCGTCATGGAGGAAATGTTGCAGGCGTGTTCTTCAAGGGATGCATTGAAGTAGTGGGTACAACGGGTATGATGGGGGTCAAATAGGTCAAATCCGACATAATCCTAGTAGGATTCCATAGGATTCCTATGATCCATCCAGTGTACCTGGGTTTTGACCCAGACAAGGGCAGAAGGGATAAGTTATGTTCATTGCTGCTCTAATACGATTGATAACAGTGTCAATTGCTCATCGGGGGGAGAACATGCCAGACAATTCGGATGTCATTTAATTTGATATTTGATTGATTCTTGTGTGTCTGGTTAGCCGCACTTCAATGACAGTCGTGAAAGATGCGAAACTTCCAGGTCTGTATTGCTGCACCTTGTTGGAAACTGGCTTGGGGGATGTGAATCCCAACATATCCCAAAGGTTCATCGGTTCATCATTGGATGATTGGACCATCACCTTGACCCAGCGAGGCGAAAGTGGCGAGTTACAAGGGTGAAGGAAAAGCTGCTGAGAAGATGTGGCACCTTGGACCGGAAGTCGGCCCTGGGGGTTGAGAAAAATGGGACGTTTCCGTGGTGTGTGTTTGAACTCGGCTCTGCAGGTAGTTGAACAAACAATGAGATTTCAGCAAAGTGCAGATGTTAGGCCAGAAACAGCAGTAGATTTCACGAACAGAATGGATGATGAACACCAAGCGGGGACATTTGAGAAGCAAAGAGGCTTGCCATTGAGATTGGGAGAGCCTTTCGGAGTCAACTGCAGTTGCATGTTGCATTTCCCCAGTTCCATGACATGGTGACATGGCGTTTCAGAGCCAATGGATGCTCAAAATATTCCAAATAATTATAATATATTAAGTGCTTGGGAACCATCATTTATGGGATGATACCATTCATAATCCATTTATTACGTAGCCAACCCGGGATGAACCTATGTGTGACTGACAAAAATTACACATAGCCATGCTTCGGGGGATGACACTGACCATGGGAGCGGCATCAGAAACCGACCTTCCAAAGTCCAATTGAGCAGGCTGGAACATCCATCACAAATCATGAAGAAAAAGAATGAAAAAGATAGAGAGTAAGAATCACTATCAAAGTCGAAGGGGTCTTACTTACATACATACTGTAGATAATATAAAGACAACAAGAAATAAATGAATATATACATATACTGTATATATATATACATCATATATTATATACATTATATTTTATTATATATATATTGTATCTATTATATATTATATATATTATATATATATTATATATATTATATATATTGTATATATATATATTATATATTGTATATATTATATATATTGTATATATTATATATTATATATACTATATATATATTATATTATATATAATATAATATATTTTATATATTTTTTAATGTATATATATACTATTATATATATTATATTATTTATATTATATTATTTATATTGTATATATTGTGTATATTATACATTATATATTGTATATATAATATAATATATATAATATATATTATATATAATATATATAATATACATAATATAAATAATATATAATATATTTAATATAAATAATATAATATATATATATAATAATATATATAATGTATATTATATAATAAATTATAAATATTATATTATATATATATAATATTTTTTTTTATAAAAAAATATTATATTATATTGTATTATATCATATTGTACTATACTATATTGTATTGTATTATATGTTATATCATATTGTATATATATATATTAATTATATATATATATATTATATTTTATATTCAATATAATATATAGTATGTTATATATTATATTATATTGTAGTATATCATATTATACTATATTGTATTGCATTATAGTATATTATATTGTATTATATTGTATAATATAATATTATATTACATTGTATTTTTTATTATTTTATTTTATATTATATTGTATTATATTTTATAATTTATTATATTATATTATATTATATGGTATTAAATACTATATTATATTATATTTTATATTCTTGCATATTATTGATATCATATTATATTATATCATATCAAATTATATTATATATTATAAATTATATATTATATTTTAAATATTATATATATTGTATATTATAATATTTATATTATATATTACATATTACATATTATTTATCAAATATGTATTCTAAATTATATATTATATATTATATATTATATATTATATATATTATATATATTATATATATTATATATATATTACATATGCTATAATTATACATGTTTGAAATTGTTTGCTGGCCGCTTTTTCTCGTGTGTTTCAGAAATACATTCTGCAGCGAGGTGGGCCTGCATGCAGGGTTTCCTGTTGAAGGGTCTTCCAGAGAAGGAAGTCTCCTTCTGCATCTCGGTGGCAGCATCAAACATACGCCGAAACCCGAAAGCTCTCCATTTTTGGAATGTTTTGTGGCTTGGAAACCTGGCATTTACGAACGCTTTCGAGGTATCCCTGAGGGCATGTCTCTCTTTCCAGATGAGGAGGAAGATGTGGAGAAGTTGTGTCTTGGAGCCAAGGGATGCACAAAATTAGGAGCTCAAGTGACACCCCAAAATGTCTGCAAGATGATCTTTGTATCAGGAGATTGCAATTTTGGAGTTTATAATAACATGTGGACAGTCAATTTTGAGGTGGTAGACATGTTGCAGGTTTGGTACGGTTTGGGTTTGTTCAGCTACTGCTTGGTTTACAGTCTCTATAAACAATGGAGAGGATCGGACTTGGTGATGCGACCCAAGTTAGAGGCAAACACGGTGTAAAAATGGGAAGGGATTGCTTCAAAACAAATCATGGGGTACCACTGGTACCACTGGTACCACTTCAATTCCAAGCTCTAAAAAGACATTTTTCGCATTACAATGATAATATATCGGGGAAAATATTCGGGAAGATATATTCGGGAATATATCTGATTTTTGAGGACACAGCCAAACATCATAGTGTTGGTTGTATAATGTTGTATGTATGCAATATATATATATACACACATATATATATATATACATGCATAGGTATTAGACACAGTAATATATATACATATATATACATAACTTGATATCAATGTCTGTAAGTAGATCAAGAATTATAGAAACCATGATTTCTATCCCGGTTTGGCATTTCTATATCATCCCCATGCGGCAGTTTTTTCCTCTGCGAGGCACCACTTCCTTCGGCAGCGTTTCAACACCAACCGGGGCCTGGAGGCGTTGAAGAGGACTGCCGTGGATGGGATATTCCATCGGAGGGCATTTTTTTTGGGGGACTTATTTGTTCCCGTTTTGGGCATGTTTTTTGATTTCGGTTTCTCTGCTTCTCCGCTGTTCTGCTTCTGTGTTTTTTGCTTTTCTGCTTTTCGGCTTTTCCTCCTTTCCCTGCTTCTTTGCTTCTCTGCTTCTTTGCTTTTCTGCTTCTTTGCTTCTCTGCTTCTCCACTGTTCTGCTTCTCTGCTGTTTGCAGTTTTTTTGCTTCTCAAACCTAAATACCCCCAAGATGCACAATATACACCCTAAACCAACCCTAAATAAACCCAAATTAACACCAAAAAAAATGAAAGCAACCCTAAGTACCCCCTGCCTCAAAATCTGGAACCTACATTCTTGGCCCCTGAGACTGGCAATCTTTGATTATAAAGGTTTTGTGATGTTTGAAAACATCCAAGAAGTGTCGTTCAAGCCTTTAAAGGCGCCTCGTTGTAGACAGGTGTTCCGGACATATTCCTTTTGAAGCTTTGTAGCCCGCATCAATTCACCACATTCGGGCAGAATGTGCTTGTGGGCTGATGGAAGAAAATTCAATCGAACCTGCAGCTTCCAATAGAAATCTTTGTTTTTGGTTCCATTTCTGTGAGGGGTTGAGGCTGGTTGGGGCATGTTTGCCGACTTCCACAGCCTGGCTGTGGTATATCCACAAGTTTATTATGGAATTTTGACCGCATCCCGTAGCCAGTGTTCTGTCATAGATCTAGAATGATTTCAAGCTACCCCTGGAGACATCTTCATCAAGAAATGAACGGAATTGTTTCTCACACCGTTGGGCGCGAAACGCAAACTCCTACCGAATTTCACTTAGAATCCGTCAAGCAGTGTTTTGTTTATCCTGCAGGATCATGATGGCGTATCGTGTAGATGCCACCCCTGTGAGCCATGATCAGGTTTTCCACTTATACAGGCATGGTCTGTCAGCTGAACTACCATGGTGGTGGCTCTTTACAGTACACTTCCGACGGAAAACCTTTCAACATCCCATTCCTGCAGCCGCCGCGGTCGCAGCCTCTACAGATAGGGCAGGAGGTGAGATTTTCAATCATCGAGCAGAAAGCTGTTGATGTTGAGCCAGCTGACTTGCAGCTGAAGCTGTCAGAAAGACCAAAGATTGGATCTACAAGAGATGAGATCAGAGATGAGAAAGATCATCTGCAGAGCAGAGGACTTCAGAAGAGTATCTGGGCGTTAAGTCAGTTTGGTCAGTTTGCTGTTTTTCGTCCCGAAAACTTTCGACAAGATTTAGCAGCAGCAAACAATCCGGCAGATTTTTGGGAGAAGGAAGTTTCAGAAGCAGTTATAGCAGGGACCATTCAGATCAATCCTACAATTTTCATCAATTTTCCAAACTACACCCTGTATTTCCCACCCTCTTAGATTTTCAAGCTGTTTTAATCTTTTTTTTGGTGTCAAGTTTTCCCAGATTGAGGCAGCGAGTTTCACAACGCCGACCTATCGCACCTCGAAATGCTGGCGACGGCCGACGCCTGCAGGAACTGTTGGCCTCCGACGATCAGGAAGCTGCTGATTGCAGCCCTGAACAGTTTTTGACGAATGCTGTGACCCATGCAGCTGTGGAAGCTGCCTTGATCTACATCCGATAGGCCAGAAGTTGGAAGCTGGGAGCGAAGCAGTTGGCACCCGGAAAGATTGGCAAAAGCTGAGAGCCTTGGTCCAACGTTCTGCTGATGTGCTTCCTTGTGGGCGCATGCTGGTGAATGGCGAAGAGAGGGCCAGTTCTGTTGAAGGGGTCTACCATCCCAGCAAGAAGGTCGGTTCAACTGAAAATAACTGAAATGTTCGCAGTGTCCACAGAGTGTCCACAGAGTGTCCACAGATCATCAGCAGCAATTGGTTCTGGACGCATCCGGGCACTGGCGAGAGGAAGGGGTTAGTTCCAGCCAAAGGTCACGCAGTGTGTACCAGAAGGGTTGGCAGAAGATGTGCATGGCGTCGTCCCTTGGATGGTACAGGCAGCTTGTTGGATAACTTTCTAAATCTAGATTTCTGCCACCATAAGAGACAGAGAACCAAATGCAAAGAGTGTGGCGGTAGTGAAATTTGCACGCACGATCGTGTACGCTATCAGTGCCGGGAGTGCAAACCTGCACATAAATTGCAGGTGGCAGCTGGCACAGTGCGAAATGAAAGGAGGTCATCGACTTGTTTGCCTGTGGTGACTGTGGTGTGTCCATGTGGGTATCCCTTGAGCCACGGATTGCGTTTTTTTCATTTTTTTCTTGTGGAGAGTTTGACCGTTTGACCCCAGGATGATTGGTTGGACCGACTACGACAAGAAACGCGCGGATGCCTCAGGCACGTCGGGTCCCGTTGGTTGGGCTCGGTATCTTAAAAAAACACCCCACCAATGGGAAAGCCATGAAAACAAGATCGCCACCTTCCTCAACTTTATCAACTTGTGAATGCTTCATCCATGGGTCAAATTGATCTACCCCAAGAATTGTACTATTTGCAGGGGTTCCCATCAATGCAGAACTTGTTGCTGCCTTGATGGGGTTGAGATTGTTTGTCATCCTTTTTGGATTCCTTTGGTACCCTTTTTAGCAATAAATCGAAATTCTATACCCCAACAATTGGAATTATAATTCAAAAAAGGGTGTTGGATTCTGGTACAGCAACACATATTTTGACCCTTTTTGCATCCACCTTTCCAAACCCTCTTAAAAATGATCATCCACCCATCCCCACCCAGGGCTGCCACCAGGTTTTACTCTCATGATGTGCGCAGCAATCTCGGACAACGCGGATGCAGTTCACGAGCTGGCAGTCCCTCACCATTGTTGGCTGAAGACCCACTGGGAATGAGGGGGTGAACCACCAAACATGCACAAATTGGCTGGTGATTTGATGTGTGAAGTGTTGATTCATTATCGTTTTTGTGGAGGTAAGTGGAGGTAGCATTTATACCTGATTTGAGGGGTTAGCTCTACAATTTTGGAACAACTGATTGTGACTTGTGACCCATTTTCAATCTCGCAGAGTAGATTCAAATCATGCAAAAGAGCGTGGAAATCCAGTCTTTCGGCTGCCTAATGTGAATTTGTGTTGTTCTGTTCATATACCTTTTCAGTTGGTAGAACTAGGGAGTACCAGAGCGGCATCGGTGGTTGTCCTGATTTACAGCAGTTTTTAGCAAAATTCAACAAGCCGTTGGCGATCATGCCATATGTTTGTTGGTTTCGCCATTATTGTCATTGCGGTTGGCTGGGCATTAAGTAGATTCCTGAACACACATATCGAATCATATGTATATATATATATAAACTAGACAACGGTTGGCCCGAGAGCGAAAAAGACGTCTTTCAAGCAGCTCTGAGGATGGTAGTCGTAAAAGATAGTCGGTGAATGGTTGGTGAATTTTATATGAGCTATGGAGGGATAAGGTGTGAAAAGTAAGATTGATTAAGAAGAGGATACTTGGTAAAGGGCATCAGATGACACGTGTCTTGCAACCACAGAGAGACATAGATAGAGAGAAAGAGGGGTAGAGAGAGAGAGAGAGAGAGGGAAGGAAAGGGAGATAGAAAGAAAACATGAAGAAATATAATGTGAGCAACAAAAGTGCACAGGAGGCTCAGTACCATGATGCTGCGAATGACATGTGTTATCTCATTTTACTATGGTAATTCCTACACACATTGCCGAAAAAGCTCGCTACCATCATTCCGTGGATGTGAAGAAACGCGACGCTTTTATCCAGAGACGCTTTTACACACAGCAGCTTTTACACACAGACGCTTTTACACACAGCAGCTTTTACACACAGACACTTTTACACAGAGGCGCTTTTGCACGCACAGAAACTTTTACACACAGACGCTTTTACGCACGGACACTTTTACACACAGACCCTTTTACACACAGACTCCTTTACACACAGACGCTTTTACACAGACACTTTTACACACAGACCATTTTACACACAGACGCTTTTACACACAGAAGCTTTTACACACAGACCCTTTTACACACAGACGCTTTTACACACAGAGGCTTTTACACGCAGACTCCTTTACACACAGACGCTTTTACACACAGACGCTTTTACATACAGACCCTTTTACACACAGACCCTTTTACACACAGAAGCTTTTACACACAGAAGCTTTTACACACAGAAACTTTTCCACACAGATACTTTTGCACACAAACACTTTCACACACAGAAGCTTTTACACACAAACACTTTCACACACACACAGAAACCGGACCCGTGAAATCGCAATTTTACTTCAGTTTGTGACGTTCAATGTCCATTTCGTGCGAAAGGGTTGCGATGGGCCAAGTTAAATCGCAATTTTACCTCAGTTTTTGACGTCCAACGTCCATTTCGTGCGAAAGGGTTGCGACGTACCAACTCCAATCGCAATTTTACCTCAGTTTTTGACGTCCAACGTCCATTTCGTGCGAAAGGGTTGCGACGTACCAACTCAAATCGCAATTTTACCTCAGTTTTCGACGTCCAACGTCCATTTCGTGGGAAAGGGTTGCGATGGGCCAAGTTAAATCGCAATTTTACCTCAGTTTTTGACGTCCAACGTCCATTTCGTGCGAAAGGGTTGCGTTTCGTGGCGCTCCGGCGGCACCGCCCCCGCCTTAAGAGAGAGATAGAAAGAAGAGCGAGAGGAGATCTGCAGATGTGAAGGTGTGAAGATGTAGATCTGCAGATGTGAGGGTGTGAAGATGTAGAAGATGTAGATTGTGAAGATGTAGATCAGCAGATGTGAGGGTGTGAAGATGTAGATCTGCAGGCGTGAGGGTGTGAAGATGTAGATCTGCAGGCGTGAAGGTGTGAAGATGTAGATCAGCAGGTGTGAGGGTGTGAAGATGTAGATCAGCAGATGTGAGGGTGTGAAGATGTAGATCAGCAGATGTGAAGGTGTGAAGATGTAGATCAGCAGATGTGAAGGTGTGAAGATCTAGATCAGCAGATGTGAGGGTGTGAAGATGTAGATCAGCAGATGTGAAGGTGTGAAGATGTAGATCAGCAGATGTGAAGGTGTGAAGATGTATATAACGGCTGCTTTTTTTTTTTACGAAGAACCCTTCGCAGAACCCTTCGCAGGCGCTCTTGGGAATAAGTATATATATATATTTATATTATATGAGAATATATACATATATATATGTATATATACACATTGAGTACACATCTTTGCTATGTCGGCCTCGCCAGATATATATGTATATGTATATATATATATACATACACATTGAGTACACATCTTTGCTATGTCGGCCTCGCCAGGTCAGAGATATCACCGGCAACTTGGTGAACCAAGGTCTCAAGAGGTCTGGGAAAATGGGGGTCAGAGTGCTTGGATGAACTATCCAGGATATCAATATAGGAAAATAAAGCCATACAACTTGGATCGATCTATCGATGTATGCACCCATCTTATCTATCTAGCCTTATCTATCTAGCCTTATCATCTTATCTATCTAGCCTTATCTATCTGTTCTTATCTATCTAATCTTATCTTATCTAATCTTATCTCATCTAATGTTATCTGGTCTAATGTTATCTAATGTTATCTAATGTTATCTAATGTTATCTAATCTTATCTAATCTTATCTAATCTTATCTAATCTAATCTTATCTAATCTAATCTTCTCTAATCTTATCCAATCCTATCTAATCTTAATCTAATCTAATCTAAATCTAATCTAATCTAATCTAATCCTATCTAATCCTATCTAATCCTGTCTAATCCTGTCTAATCCTATCTGATCCTATCTAATCCTATCTAATCCTATCTAATCCTATCTAACCCTATCTAATCCTATCTAATCCTATCTAACCCTATCTAATCCTATCTAATCCTATCTAATCCTATCTAATCCTATCTAATCCTATCTAATCCTATCTAATCCTATCTAATCCTATCTAATCCTATCTAATCCTATTTAATCCTATCTAATCCTATCTAATCCTATCTAATCCTATCTAATCCTATCTAATCCTATCTAATCCTATCTAATCCTATCTAATCCTATCTATCTATCTATCTATAAATTATCAAATACATGGAATAAATTGTGCCATGAAGTGGTTTGCAAGTCGTTGGCATCTGCACGTGCAAAATCGGATGTGGGTCGCCCAACAAATACCATTTTGTTTCAGCCAGCAGGAAATGCATACTAGGTATCTGATACAGATGGAGTCTGGTGAGGGCCCCATGGGGATTTTTGATTAGGACCTTGAACTGCGGGTTACCATTTTCACCCAGGTTTGAAAATGTTTGAAGATATGGAGGTGAGGTGTTTATAGCCTCGTGCGGACTTATTCCACATGGACGTTTCTTGTTTGCAAACTCCACGGCAAATCTGACCTTCCCATTACCCCTTTGGTTTGTTCAGGATTTGCAAAGGGTAGTCTTTGTTGTTGATATCCTCCATGATGTGTCTCACACGCTGTTTCCCGAAGTTGATGGGTTCTGAAAATGATCCATGGCGATCCATGGCGATCCATGGTGATCCATGGTGATCCATGGTGATCCATTTAAGAACCATTGGTTATTTTTTGATTCGCTAAAATTTGTTGATCCATTGGTACCCCATTCTTATTTTTTTCAGGTCTGAAAAACCACAGCCGCAAATTTCGGTCGCCATCAGCAGCCAGGCAGTTCTATCACCTGGCCTTCATGTGGAAACACGTGAGGCCTTTGGGCGCTGCCATGGCCTATGCCAGTCAGAGATCCTAGGGAATGGCTGGAATCGCTAAGAGCCAGTTTCTTCACACCTGTTTTTCTGGAATTGGTTTGCCCAGACATAAAACTATTGGTTTCTCTGAGGGAAGCATCCTGCTTCTTGGTGCCCATTTCATCAGCCGAGGTTGGGAAACGGTCCAAGCCCTCCTTGACTCGGGAGCGGATCCGCGAGCACGAGCTCACAACGGTGGGGGGCGGCAAAGAGACCGGTTGGAAGATGAGTTCAGATGACCCTCATCAACAAAATTTGGGGTATTAAAGCAACAAAGGTTGCTTACTCAGATTTGGCATGATTTGACGGTTGCAACATAGATGTTCTTCATTGTTGAATATCTACCTGAACATGGGGTGACCAACTAGTACATTCAAAAATTATGTGCGCTTGAAGACTGAAGACGCATTTGCAGGGAAAGCGTGTTTTTTTCCCCTCCAATATAGGGGTTTCCAGTTATTTTTTGTGAGTTTTCCTTTGAGCCAATGTTGGGAGAACTGGTTTGGCCAGGTATGGATGCCTTTTTCTTCGCTTGTTGTCTCGGGAATCTCGAGAACATCAAGGGATGGCCCCTCGGAGACACCTGGAATGGGTGCCTCCATCCTCCAGCATCAGATTTGCTGAAACACATTTTTGCAAGAAGGTTTTCAACAAAGTGATTAATCTTGATACTTTATGGTTATGTTAATTTTAGCTGTTTTTCTTGGGCTTCAAAATCGCGTCAACATTCCGTTGTGGGAATACGATTTGTCCATCCAAAATCCAAAGTGCCCCAAAGCACCCGACGTTTCCAGTGGTTTCCACCCGACATTTACCGTGGCGAGGTTGAAGACCTTCCCCACGTGGGACATGGATCGAACCATTCCTATCTTGGGCCGGGGCTCCTGGTAGCCATCAATGGTGATCTTTTTGTTGGGAAACGTATGGGTTGGGGCACCCCTAATTATGAACATACTCATATACTCTCAGACTGATTTGTTTGGTGATCATCACTTTTCCGTCTGAGACCCTGGCCACAAATGTTGTGGTTCCAAGTAATTGATCTCTCAATATCTTCAATATTCTTTAATGCTTGTTCTTTTGGACTTCTAGCCACTTATCGATTTACATGGACCCTACAAAAGTGACTTTGAAAGTTTGGAAGGCTCTTTTCCCTGTAATTCGCCTATGAAACAATGGGTGATTTTTCCAACACTTGGTGCCAACACGTGCCATAACCAAAATCTACGAAGCCCCGAAGCATGAAAAACAACCGCGAGGCCTGAGCCCCTTGTGCGCAGCTGTGTGCAGCGGCGCCAAGAAGGCGGGCCAAGTGAATGACATTTGAATGCTGAAGACTTTTAGATGAATGTTGAATGCACCCGAACTGATTGTAAATGCTGAATAATTATATGAATTGTATTGATTGTAATTGTATCATGTAATGGGCGACGCC